GAAGCGGGTGGAGGAAACAGACAGCGATCGGCGCTGCCGAAGCGGTGGAAGTCCCCCCCCCCTGGATTTCCACTCGCCCCCACGCAATTTTCACTCGCCAATTGCGAGGGGGCGAGTGGAAATTTTGAGCCCTGGCCTAGCAGCATGTTGACAGAAGTCTTGATTGAAGAGAAAACGTTGATGGAAGACAAGTTTTGCTCAGCAGAGGACAGTGTGTCCAACATTCTAGGACACTAGTAAAAAATGGAGGCATGAGGGTTGGGGGCGGGGGTTATACAGTAGGCTACCTGAACTTTTTTGTTTTGCCAGTGTCCAGTATTCCTAAAGGAAGCAGCATAACCCGGTTGTTTATCATTTCTTCTGTTCCTCTGTCCCTCAATGGACAATGAAAACAAATAACATACTATCCTGTCCTATAATAAGAAAAAAAAGCGACTTACTGCAGTTTGTAGTTGGCTTCACTCTACACCTGTAAAGAGGCTGTTCTGCACAGACCAGAGCCAAATACTATCTCTAAAAATGGCACTTTCATCATTCATTTTTAAATGGATCCTGTTAAAAAAAACTGAGTATCCAGCTGTTAGTTTGCTATTAAACAATCTGACTGGTATTGTTGAGCAACAACTGTTTTTCAGTTGTGCAAGTTGTCATAAATGAGCCGTTCTAATTCTGTCACATCTGCTATTGTATTATGTGCTGCATTTTTCCCCCTGTTCTGTTAGTTCCTTTAAAGCCTAACCCCAGACTGAGCAAATATTATCAAAATACAAGAGGCATGTGTATTCTCGAACCTTCGTGGGCTTTGTATATTTCTTTCAGATCGATGCAGTAAACCAACATGCCTCTGTGCTGGAGCTTCCTCTACCTAAGACCGTCACTACTGCTCCCTCTCCATGTGAAGAGTGATTGGTCTTATATCCGCCCCCTCTTGTAGTTCTCTGCAGACAGGCTGAAGTGGGTGGACCTGCTGGGTCCCTCCCACATCTCTGCTCTCTGTGCAGACTATGTACAGCACAGCGAAGATGTCACCGCTACTTTCAAGGTAATAACTGTGTCTGCAAAGGCATTTGGTAAACACAAAGTGGTTTTATATCATTTGTGGCTATTGCAGAATATATTTAAATCAGAATTTTGTACCTGGAGTTCAGCTTTAAAACATTCTCCATCTATAATCAACTCTACAATGCAGTTTTATTATTATCTTACCTTCCTCAATAACTCGTCCCTTCTCATCCAGCATGCCTTGAATTTCACATCCTCGTACATACATGAGCCCAGTCTGTTCCGCAATAGACTGCCTACGATCAATCTTGGTTCCATATGGTAACATGGGCCGCAGGGTGACCAAAAAGCAAACATCATGTTTGCGGAGACCTGGTTGAAGTGACAAGACAACATTTTAATGTCGTTATTCAGATTGCATTTATTATAACATGATATCAATTGACATTTACAGACTTTCTTCATACAAGTAGCAAAGTGTGCACATTCTAGAACGGTTAGGTTTGTGAATATTAAACTATATTATTAGAAATGGAATCAAAATGAAGATCGACACCAAAACAAGATTTCCTAAATGTTTTTAGGGGAATATGGAGAGCAGGGAGTATAAATAATTTGCAGGGAGAGTACACTGCAGGGAGAGGACTGAATGGAGGTTGCTGGGCTCTCAGTGTGCTGACTGGAGTGTTTTAGGGAGGGGTGATCAAGAGTCTGTGATTTGATGGTAAATGGAATCCGCTACTGCTTTGACTAGAGGGTCAATGGATGAGGAGGAGGATTATTGGGCATTACTGACGAGAGGTTTTTGGTGAAAAGGAGGCTAGAATAGTTTGCTGTACAGAAGTACAATGTTAGCAGAGGAAAGAATGAACTGCGATCAGGCTATATCGGCGTATACCTCATTCTTCTTCCTCTAGATATACTGCTGATCCATAAGACTGAAAAGTTCCAGTTTTGTTTTATTGCTCCACAGAACAGAATGCCAAAACGTCTGTGGATTATTTATACGATTTTGGGTTCTGGTAAGGAAACCTTCTGCATTTAGTATGCGCCTTACTATGCAAACTAAAACCTTGGTTCCTGTTGCCAACAAGTCTTGCTGCAGATCGTTTGCAGTCACTGGAGGGCTTTTTCTCTACCTGCCTTCTCAGAAATCTGGTCACAGCCATGGATAGCCTCCTTTTTCTGCCGTCCAGTTAGTGTAACAAATGTTCTTTTAACTCTGAACTTGCGAACTATGCTTCCAACGGTGTCTATAGGAACATTCAGTGCCTTTATCTGTAAAAAATAAGTCAAGGCAACTGGACTTGTTGTATTTTTCTTGAAGGCGTTTCGTTTCACTGGTCGTCCAACCAGCTTTCTCAATTCAGAATGACAAAAATTATCTGGGAATAAATATGGGGAATGTTGTTCCAATCCACATAATCTGTTAGTCACAATCAAGTGTTGATGTATTTGCATAATTGGAGCTAGGAGGTGTTAATAACCTGCCCAGAGAGACGTGTTAAAACAGCATTGTATGTGGCAGACAATAGATGTCTCTTTGTGGACATCTTAGGGTTGATTGGTTCCATATGTGGCCTATGTATTTAGTGTGGTCTATAAAAAAAATGGTTAGTTGCTTGTTTTTGATATAGGCATTCTAAGAATCCTCTTCGTGATTTTTATATGATTTTACTTCACTAAGATGCATAAGGTGTTGGTTGTTTATTCTTTTGTTTTTTATGTATAACAGGGCTCAAAATTTCAGGCCCTGAGCTACTAGCCAGGCCTTAAGAGTTACTCGCCACCAGTTGCCCCACCTAACCCCTACCCTGCCCTGGCCTTAACTCTGCCAGGTCAGAGGTGTGACGAAACGTACAGAGGTCAGTAATTTAACGCACAGTACAGAGGTCAGTAATTTAACGCACAGTACAGAGGTCAGTAATTTAACGCACAGTACAGAGGTCAGTAATTTAACTCACAGAGGTCAGCAGTGTAAGGCAGAAAGAACAGGACTTACAGCACATATAGCTGATCTGCCCTCTTCCTCTCTAGGTGCTGGTGGTGGTACTGGCGCTGGTGCTGGGGGCGTGTACAGAGATGTATTCTTCAGGTCCCGCGCTACAAAAACATCCAGCTGGCCAATAGCAGCTGCAGTCTTCCTCCAGCCTATGACAGATGAGGTGGGCGGAGGAAGCTGCAGGTGGCCAGAGTGAAGGGAAGACCGACTAACTGATTCTTCTCCCCCTCTGCCACTCTGTAGCTGCAGCAGCCGAGGAGAAGTAAAATCAGTGCAGCGGTCTTCCCTTCACTCCGGCCACAGAAGACAACTGAAGCGCTCGATCGCCGCTGCAGAAGCGGTGGTAGTTGCTGCAGAAGCGGATGGTGCTGCCGGTGGCTCCCCCTCCCTAGATGAATTTCCACTCGCCCTCACGCAATTTTCACTCGCCAATTGCGAGAGGAAATTTTGAGCCCTGATGTATATGGTTTTGGAGCGAGTACCGAACAGTATTTGCGGTAAGCCTGTATCTGATGTACAGTTAATTAATTCTGTTGCTTATTTGTTTTGGGGTCCAGCTTGTACTTTGCTTCACAGAAAAAGCAGAAGAAGAAACTGAAAAACTATCCAAGATAGCTTTCCATCAAAAAATTGCTATGGACCCACCAGTGCACTTCAGCAATGTACTCTTGCCAGACATCTAGTATGGAGTGTCGCACACAAGCTGCCCAAGTGCTGGCATGGTTTTGACAGCAATGGTCAAAAACTGAATATGCTTGCAGTGCCAACAGGGGTCACCTTAAGTGTACGGCTTCAGCTGGAGTACGGGGAAATGTTATTCAGTTATGCGCCAGCTGGCATCAATCGGTGCACAACTCCCAGGACCTTCAGCATATAAATTACATTTTGCTGTTTAAGCAGCATGGATATGTTGCCCCTTATAACCTAAAACCTGCTTATTTTTAGAGGAGAGAACCTTTGCAGGATTTCTTGGTACTGACTCATAAATCTCTCATCGGACAAATTTTAAAAAAAGTCTTGAATGAGGAAACAAACTACTGTTCAATACAGGCCAAGCTGCCACACTGCTGCCACTGTCCTGTTGATGTTTATGACTGGAATACTCACGTCAACAATGGCTGCAATACATACACACACTTGTATGAGGAGCAATTTGTTCATCAGTTAATAATGAACATAGAGGTCTGTTCAGTAAAACCCATCAGATATGACCAAACATTTCTGACTGTTGCTATGGTTGACTTCACCATATGCACTTTCTATTGACTTAATAATATAATGTATTCTAACTGAGATAACTGAAAGCAAGACGGCCAATAAAATAGGATTTTTGTACTCTTTTCTTGGATTCCATTGAGGGACACAGGAATTCAGATACTGTCAGTTACACTGTCGGCTTTCAGGAGGAACGGGAACTGGCAAAAAAAAATTGTAGGCCAGCTCAGGATAACGCCCCCAGCATGCATCAGTTTGCTTGTTCACACTATGTTCATTGAGCTGCGTTTTTCTGTACAGCACCATACATGTATGGTGTGAACAAGGCTCATAGAAAACAATTGTTTTCTATATGCCCTGTTGACATCATACATGTATGGTGGTGTATGCAGCTCAGTGGACTTAGCACAAACAAACCCTTAGCGTTAAGGAACATAGCAGTGTCACCTCCCCATCCTCATCCTACTGATTAGACAATGAAGGAGCAGGAAGATACTAATAAGTCTGACTAGTTCCTAGTGCTCCCGCTCCCCCTCCCAGTCCCAGTCCAAGTGCTGCTGTGCAGAGGATGACAGCAAGACAAATTTGTAATGTAAAACACAACTGCATTAATATGTGTTTATAGCATGTGTCTGGAGTTCTGCTTTAACAAAGGAGACTGTGTGCTCAGAACTCTCCCTATATGTTATGATCTCATCATAGAGGCAGGTACTTCTGCTATTCCCTGTTGGCTGGTTGCTGGGCACTGTGCTAACACATATCAATTCACTCACCACTCTACATCACACTTCATAGATGAAGCAGGAAGACCATCTAAAATTTAGGAACCATACATCAGGGCTGCAGGTCCATTGGACACAATCTTCAATGCCCTCAGTTGGAATGACAAGATGTCAAGTTGGAGATGACTATATTATTGATTGCCAGTAGAATGTGGCGTCTAGCCAACAAAGTCAAGGTCTATTTATATGCATTGTGGATCCCTCTTTCAAATATAACTCTCCTGCCTAAATATACATGAGGTGCATCATTTTAAAAGTGTAGTAAACACATCCTGTGACAGGTGAGGGAAGATTAAGTCCTGAAGTAAATATTTACCTTTTGTAGAAAGAAAAAACTGCCAAGCCCCCCTCCCTAGCCCTCTCAACACACACAGCTAGGTCCTTGCTAATCTAATGGCTCTAATACTTTATTATCTGCCATCGATCCAAAACATGAATGAAGATCAGAAGTTCTGACCTCTCTCTCTCTCTCTCTACCTGCTCTTAATTGCAGCATGATTTTCCTAGATTTGTGAGTGAAAGTACCAAAAGCAAAAACAAAGAATTATTTAATCTAGAGCTTGCTGTTATGTTTATATATAAACAGAACTATAGATTAGAAGTGATCAGCTGAAATCAACAAACAGAAACATCCGCACACACGCACACATTTATATGTTGTAGGTCTGTATTTGTAAACTGTATAAGAGACACAGCATGAAGATTAGATCAAGATTAAGACTTATACAGTACCTATGAAACAATACTATAGACTGTGTCTTTATGCCTCCATAGACATATAAACTGGCCTATACCTACAGGAAAAAAACCTACCTGGTTTGCCTAATACATTTCAACATAAAATAGAACTTACCTGGCCAGAAGTGCCATAAAATGGGTATACTAGCCCTGCCAAGTGAGGGGGCCACACACTGGTCGACTTTCCTGCTTGGCAGAAAATCAATTAGTGTATGGTACGCTTAAGTAGATCTCTTCCCAGATTGCACGCACGAACTTCTCCAATTTGCTCCCTTTTGGGCTACAAATATACTATTGGCAGCAGTTTGTTGTATCCGATTGATAAATGCACACATACTGGTTGATCTTGCCAGAAATCTTGTCAAGCTGTGAACTTTCTGTGCTCTGTTATCAGTTATATTATTCTGGGAACTACAACCCTGTCCATCTATGTTATGTACAAGACGACAGAGGGAGATCCCACTAGTTGTGTCCTGTTACAGTATGGTGATTAAGCATTGTCATCCTAAGACATGACATGTTACTGACAGAATCACGGAGGTGAAAATAAAGGAAAAAACTATGAAAATGAATGCACTGGTGAACTGCAACACTTTACATTTTTCATTTTGGACTCAAGATACGCTTCAAGGGGGAGAAAATCATTCCGCACACAACTATATCAGGTCATTTCATTAAACCCCAAGTGTAATTCTAAGTGCATATTTTTGCTTAAAAAGTACAAATGCAAAATTAGGACAAAATTTATTCTTCTACATTCAAAGGACTCAACAGTGTGTATTAATACATGAAAAGTAACATACGACACAAGTTCTCCTGTTATTCATACCTTCCCATTCATCTTTAATCTGGTCTCTGACATTCAGGTTGATGGTAACATCGGCTCTTACTTGTGTTGGCCAGTTTTCACCAATGTTTGGTTTGGCAACTTCCACAACAGAGAAAGCCGCTATAGGTTGAGCCATGCGAGCCCAGCCACCAAAAACAACACCACCATATTCAGACTGCCTGTAAGAAAAATTGTGCATGATTACCAATGTATATATTTATGTGAAACCCACACACATGTATAAAGCTGTACACGTTAAAGCTGAAGTCAAGGCAAACAGAGAAATACATTCATGAGAGCAGTTTTAGGAGAGCGGTTTCAAAAGATATTGATGGGGGGGGGGCACTGGATCCTCTGCTACACTATGAGTAAAGTCTATTTCCTAAAGTGCGTTGGCTTTGGCTTCACAGATCTTAGACACATGGGGGCCGCAACGGGTGCCCTATGTCGGAGGGGGGTTAAATCACAGAGAGAGCGTTTTAACACTCATTAAGTTGAAATGAAATACAGCAACGTTTCAGGCATCCCTGCCCTTTTTCAAGACAATCAAAACATATACCCGTACAACATATAAAGCATATAGACTGAAACTGTTGACAATAAAACAAGAAATGTAGAAGATGTGATATTATTTGTGTGTCAATTTCACAGATTTTCGGGGGGAAAAATATTTTCTTGTATTAGGTGGGATTGGAACATATTACAAACAGTTTATCCTAAAGTGGAGGAATTTTGCAATATGCCATTGCAGACCATAAGATGTAATCCTACCATTCAGGATAAAATTGTTCAAAGAGAAACCTTCTGGACTTTTCCTGGGCCAGCAGGGAAGGGTCATTCCCATGTTTGTCATGCTCAGAATGTTTCAATATGACTGAAAGCAGAACCTTCTCCAATTCTGATGCAACACAACAATAAATGATTAGGCATGCGTCAGGCACATATTCTAGTTATTTACTGCAGCGCACATGTCATTTACCGTATATAGGTTAGGGATAGAGTATCACAGCATAGGTCTTCAATTAGGGCTGAACAAATTGAAACTCCTGTACCTAAACGTTATTTGAAAGCAGGATATACAGATACTGATTTAGGTTCATGGTAATTGATTAGATCTCTATCATATCACTGCAGCAAAGACAAGAGGTTTTTGGATTACTTTATCACCACATGGTCTCAACTGTGACTTTGATTTATATTTAATCCTTTGAGATGGAGGAGTGAGAATGGAGCAGTGGCTACTTAACAACACACAGGGACCATGGGGAACAAAAGCAGACACCCTCCAGAAGGAAGGACAGTGTTGGCACCATTTCAGAGATGATTTGAGGATCTACAGCCGAGTGATACACAAATAAGATACATTTTTGATATTAGTTAAGGTACTTGAATGTATTTTAAAAAGATTTATTTAAGTTCAGTGTCACCTAAATCTTGTATTCGTAGCTATACCTGCTGCATGATGTTGCTACATTGCTTCCACTTGTAATTACTTTGTAACAACCAATAAGCATTTTGTATCTATTTCATCAGCTCTGGTCTACATGCTTTAATCAACTTGTAAAAGGGCAGGGATGATACAGTTATGTATAATATTTCAACTTGAGAAATAAAAGGCTCGCTGGTTTTCTTTTTTTTCTTTTTAACGTTTTGCCGGTATTCATGATCCGACTTAGTTGCCGGCATAGATTACACAAGGATTCCTATAGGTGCTGTCCACCCTTACATTACAAACATTACATAAAGTACATACAGGTTGCAGATGCTGGATTTTTGGTTCTTGCTCTGTGTGTTATTCTTGTTTTTGAGCCCATAGCGGCTCCATATATTACGCTTTATAACATAACACATTGTTAAATACACAGTAACTCCTATTAAACAGGTACTATGAGGGCCCAGTCACACCATAAATAGTGTGTTCCAGTGCGTTCGGCCTCTGGAACGCACCCCGGCCGGCTCTCTATGTTTTGGTGCGGGAGGGGGCACGTCAGCCACGCCCCCCACCCGCAGTGTGATCGCCGCCACCCGAACATGTGGCAATTAGTTCCTGCGTTCCGGTCCAGTGTGATCTGCAAAAAATTTGCATGCACTATTTTTTGCAGATCACACTGGAGCGGGACGCAGGCACGAATGTGCCACGTGTTCGGGTGCTGGCAATCGCACTGCCCCCCCAAAAAAAAATAAAATGAGCCTGCGGGGTTGCATCCCAGTGCGTTCCAGAGCCCGAACGCACTCTTTATGGTGTGACAGGGTCCTCAAACAACTACCACTCACACAAATATGATATATACAGACGACTAAAGGCTAGAGAGTCTATTTGGATTTTCTATTTAAAAACATGCCACCCAGATGGCTTGTATGTAAATCTAGAACCAGCTTAATCACAAAACCACTTATCCCCATACTGGTACTACCCAACACAGAATATATACATTTTTACCTAATACTAAAACATTACTCTGACCAGCAATAATACTGTATCTGCCAATCATCACAGGATTTCAGTATATGAGGACACACTTTTATATGTGTGCATCAACAGGCAGACCATCCTCTCACAGGTTCTATATTTTATCCAGCACACTACATCTTTGATCACCAAACAACCTCATACTTGCACAACTTCATAAGAGTCCAACATATCCATAAACACACTCTTGGAAACACCTGTAAATTTACCATTCTTTGATAAACATTATACTTCTCATATTATATCATTTTTATACGTTAATCCATCATCATGAGGTCCTGGGAAAAACTCTCAAAAAAACAAGGGTTCCATTTCACTACATACCAATTCTTTTTTTGTACTATACTTGAGAAACCGGCAGAAATTCGCACATTGGGTGCCGCTACCAGCACCCTTTCGCCTGGCATCCCTTAATCAGCTGATCAAAGGAGCCAGCCAGAAAATCTACGTACAACCAGAGCCGGCAGCAATTAACTGCTGCCTCTTGTTGGGTATTCTGACAGCAGTCGGCGGCCGCTGTCTGCATGCAATGCAAACAGCGGGGATTCCTCGATTAACACACTCGTAGTGTTGATGGGGGAATCTTCTCTATTTTTTTTTCTTTCAGCACGCAGGTTGAACAAGAAAAATAGAGCAATATGGTCAGCCTTACTCCTCTTACTCCTGGGAATACCTGATCTAGTTGACTAACTGGAGAGATGTCCAAAAGTTTTAATATCAGGCTCGAATCTTCCAGTAGCTGTTGATAACAGAACATTTTCCAAAAATATAGCAGAGAGGAAAGAAACATACATTCTCCTAAGGACACCAAGTGAAACTGAGCAGGTGTGAGGGGGGGGTAGTTCTATGTACCTAGTGTCCATTTCTCCTATAGGCGGCAGTGCAACCTTAAATTGCTTACTATCAAGCTATGTCCCTCAATGGGCAAAGCAGAAAATACTCCAACAGCTTAAACTCATGATGTAGCTGCACACAGTACTGCAACTCAAACAGCACCTTTATACTAATCCTTGACAGCAATAGCTCAAAGGATAAGCCCTACCTAATCATGCAGTGCATGGCCATGTGTCCCACACTACCATTTGTTTGCTTATCTGAGCCTGTTTGTTAAAGTCTGGTTCATCAATGCCGATTTGTATCGCCCGACGCCTGGGACATGAATTTCCCGACACTGGGCAGGTGTTATTTTCCTACAGCAGTCAATCACGGCTAAATGTAGAGCAGGGGAGCCATCGCTCATTTTGCACAATTGATAAATCACTTGTAGCAGCCTGCTTGTTATAGCCAGCCTGCTATTGGCTGTTTTAAACTGCAAAAGCCAATAGCAGGCTGGCTATTGTACCCGCCCACTGCCTGCGGTCAATCAGCAGAGGAGGGAACTGAAGAAGAAAATTCTCCTTCAGGTCCTCCTCTGCTGATTGATCGCAGGCAGTGGGCGGGTGCAATAGCCAGCCTGCTATTGCAATTTACAATAGCCAATAGCAGGCTGGCTATTGTTTCCAATGCTAAAGCCTGATGAAGGGACCCTGTGCGGTCCCGAAAGCGCTTGTTTGGTCATATGACAAAAAACTTCAATAAATGAAGCTTTTGCCATCTTAAAAGGACTGGTGTGCTGGTGACATTTCTACAATTTTTTTGGCTATTGTTTCCCGCCTGCTGATGGGAGACTTGACACTGGCTTTCTACCGCCGGCAGAAGAGGGGGCACATGGAGCAGCGCGGGCATGGGGGCAGCAGCGGAGAAACGCAGAGGCACAGTGGTCTCTCCTCCCCGCTGGTGCTGGCTGCAGTGTTCTGTGTTCCCGCTGCCTCTGCCGACACAGGGGGATTGAAAGGAGCAGAGTGGCGGCTGCAAATTCAACCAATCAAACCAACTAAATCGATAATGAGAATCGTTGACAATGATGCTCATTATAGATTTAATCGATTAGTTGTTGCAGCCCTAAAAAACATTAAAAGATAATATCGGAAAGGAGGTGCGCCATTATCTCATGTATAAATGTATATGCAAATACTTACTATTCTAAGAAAACTGAAGAGTAGTTTTAATGCATCATTTTCCTTCCACTTGACTGCAATAATTCCCTGGACAGCATTACAGTCAGAATGACAGTATTCAGGTCTGTGACAATTTAACACTACAGGGTTACAGTGATAATGGCTCTGGTATGGCAGGGAGCTTGCCTCTTAACTTAGAATAGCCGTTTAGAGCTGTAAAAGTGCCACAGATCAAAAGACAAGCAAGCTCAGCACCCTGAAATAGCCATGAAATGTGAAACATCACCGGTGGCTCATGTTCCATGAGTTGTTACTCTGCATTGGCCAGGGCAACTGAGGGGATTTGTATAGCTCTTCATGCCAGGGAGTAAATGAGACTGTGTCATTAACCATTTAGAGTGCTGAACAGGGATAAGTCAGCATTCCAGCTGCTTTTCCAGGAGGGATGTTCACTGCGACATAACTGGTGTTTTGTAGCTTCAGCTCTACCCAAACCAACAAAGGGGACAGTTGAACAATTTTGTGTAGAGTTGCAAAGTTAGTTTGTGTGTTTGGTGCAATGTGCTGTTTATTAACCATCTCATTCCTTCAGTAACAGATAAAGCAACGATGTGGGGTAGAAGGCAATTATGTTAAAAAGCAAGATGAAAATTTTAGGGCATGTTTGTACAATAATTCTGACAAGTCAAAGTCAAAAGGTTTTTCAGCTATTTCAAATGCTGATGAAATCGCTTACAATGAATGCTGCTTCTTGATGTTTTAAAGAGTTTCCTGTAGAATCAGCTGGTCCCCTGAGCACTGGCGCTGATAGCCTGTTACCATTGCAGGATCCTATGGAGCCACCCTTATGCACACTCTGTCTACACAAACACAAAGAAACAGCAAGGCAATTCAATCCCCTCCCCCTCCCTTAACCCTTTTTTTCCTCTCTTCTCCAAGCCAGCAGATGGACAGCTGCTGCAGACTGCTCTGTCCATTGTGATCTTTTACTGGACAGGGTGTTCAGGGAAGCAGATTTGAAAGAGTTGGAATCATCTGTTCGGAAACTTCAGGACTAAGTGCTTGGACAAAAATAATTTGCTGGACAATGTATGTTTTAAAAAAAATCTGGATTCATTATTGAAAAATGTTTGATAGTTTAATACTACTTTAAAAAGGACCTTTAGCCATATCTTTAAAATGACAACAATCACAGCTTTACAAATGTTTAGTAAAGACAATCTACTAACACATATTTCTAGAAAATTCCTGGCTTTGTATTCTTTGCATTTCTTTTTTCTAGGGAGGTCTTTATACCAATACTAGTATTGGTGCCGATACAGAGCATTTTCATGAGTACTTGTAATCGTGAAAATGCTCCAACAAATAGAGCCGATGCCGGCCCTTTAAATTCTTTAATAGATTTAGCTGCCGGAGGTCCTGCACGTTATGTGGACCTCAGGCAGCTGTCTTCCCGGCACAGCAAAAGGACAGCACCATATCAGCCTGTACAGTCCCGAAGTCGGCACGAGCTCGACACCCACCCTCAGAGCCCTGGAGAAACCAAAATGCGGCCCTGGTGACACCTGCACGTGGCTTTGGCGACACCTGTAGGGCTGCAACAACTAAATCGACTAAGTCGATTGTAATCAATGGTGAAAAAGGTTGTTAACATTTTTCATCAAGGATTGGCATTTTTCCCAATTGTCACGGGGAGATTTATTGGACTGAAGGTAAGATGTCGGGGAACTACAGGAAGATGAAGCGAACACGAGAAGATCGGGCGGGGGAGGGTGGCTCTGCTCATCTCATCAGGGGCTCACTGGCCGGGCTACGGTTGTGGTCAGTACTGTATACGGTTTTAATGGAGTTGGCAGCTTGGGACTGCAGGGAGGAAAGCACATGTCCATGGTGGAGAGGTTTCCCTCTCTCCCTTTGAAGTGCCCCCCCACCAACTCCCACTGCCTGCACTCCCCCCCCCCCACATGGTACATTGTGCTGTATAATGTATTGCTGGGATTTGTATTCTTCTATAGCTGATGGTACATTGCGCTGTATAATGTATTGCTGGACACTGTCCATCCTTCTGGAGGGTGGCTACTTTTGTTCCCCGTGGCCCATGTGTGTGTTATAAAGTAGCCACCGTTATAAAGTAGCCAAGCTCGCTCCCGGGATGGAAAAAAAAGCTCAATACAAACTAGTTGTCCATCACTGTTACAATTTTTAAAAATCGCTCCAGTGATGGACAATTTTTTTTTAAATCCGATTAATCGAACTCAATAAATCAGCCAACTAATCGACTATGAAAATAATCATTAGCTGCAGCCCCAGACACCTGCAGACGGCCCTAGTGAGAAACTGCCCTAAAATTATTAGTCTGTATTCTTTTAGAAAAAACTTTGCCTGTCCCTTTGAAAAAGTACCGGTAATTGGTATGGGCAAGTACCTGAGGGAGAGTACTTGTACTTGAAAAAAAATGGCGTCGAGACATCCCTACTTATTTTTTGTTTTCTTCCCCAGTCTTCCGACAGTGGCCATTTTTACTAAGGGCAGATTAATATATTACACTTTACTTCCTGGAACACTGGCACATGTGACTAGGACATGTGACCATGCACATCATCTCAGGGTAGGAAAATGCCTTCCCCCCCAGATCTCATGAGATTACAGATGGGATTTCCCAGCACTGCACTGCTCATGTAATATTCCCAGGATGGAATGCTTGGACATGATGACATAATTTGTGCCAAAGTGGACCAGGAACTCTTTTTACAAGTAGGAGAAAGTGGAGGTCTCTATGCATTTTATATTGTTTTTAACAAAGTTTTTTTTTCTGAAATATAGGTTAATAAAGTATTATTGTTTTTAAGAAACATGTAACTAGTCTGAGGTACATTAAAAGCCCCCAATTCTCTACTTCTTCTAAGTATGCATCTACTTTCTTGAATGTGGTACCATGTAAGGGACATGGTGCAAAATCTTAGGTAAAAAAGAAATAGTCTATTTGTAAGTAAATGAAAAACATGTTTGTTTAACTAATGAATGTAAGATGATTTTATGTGTGATTTGTAGTGAAAAGGGGTAAAGGTCCACTCTACGTCACCCTAAAAATGTGTAGTGTGGTAAAAAGATGATTGAATCATATCAATTGCTAGCCAACTTTATGGACCACATAATCAGGCTAATCCTAAAATTTGCAATTTCAATAAAACGTTATGGACGTCACTCAAGACAATAACAAGTTGCAAAATCCCCAGGTCCTGGTCTCTGGCAAAAATCAGACAGAAAAAAAAAATGAATTACCTAACTTTGGGCTGCAAAAGCTTTTATTATATACGGAGTAGTAGCAAGGTCAGAGGTTACCCCTGTAAGGCTATCGTGTGTATATATAGAGCAGTGGTAGGAAATAGAGAGAAGGAGGCCAACAAAAGCTTGTCAGAAGAAAACTTGATCGTTTTATAATCTGTGAAATCAACTGTTCTCACCATCAGCCAAGCCGGCCCCATGGGGAACCATCCAAAAAACATGAGATTATCATCTAATCCAGCACTTTTCAGGCAGATGGGTTGAACGCCATCCATGTTTGTAGGTACTTTTTAAGTAAGCCTGTACTCAAGGACACTGCAATGACATGCAAACTAACACATACACTTCACAGCAAGCATCATAATGTACGATCTGCTGCTAACTACACGATGTAGCTCCATCTTCCTGTACTGATCTTTCAACAGTCCGGTGCACCCACTTTTTCAATAGGGCTAGGCATGCCCCCTGATGCATTGTGAAAAGAGGGAAATGTTTGTAAATGTATGCAGTAACAAGCTGGTGTGTGCTTAAAACCATTGTCATGGGCCAATACTGTCTCTTTTTCTTGTTTCCAAGGTTTAGCCCTCGTTCACACTGGAATCGGCTCGCATGAGCAGCTCCCAGGAAGGACAGGTGCTGCGTGTGATTAATACGCAGCCCCCGTCCTTCTCTATAGGACTAAGCGGCCCCCCTACGCTCACCCACCCTGCACATCTGTCTGGTTCGTGTCTGTGTCCGAGCTGGAAAACATGCACTCCTACCGACCTGCACTTGAGGTGAACGTAGGGCTGCCTATTCCCATAGAGAAGGATGGGGGCTGCGTACTAATCACACGCAGCACCTGTGCTTCCCGGGAACTGCTCAATACGGCCCTGCACGCAGCACGGACGTGCGGGCCGATTCCAGTGTGAATGAAGGCATAGAGTTCATCTTTTAATTTCACTTTTGGTGTCAAGAAAGTATACCTACCTATGAAGCAATTCTGCCTGTCAGAATTAGCTTCCTGTGAGCCAAAATAAAGGTTCACTGAGAACTGTATTAGGCATAAATAAAAGGCATGCACAATACATGCACATTTCTCTATGTTTCATCTCTTTAAAAACACTGCAAGTACAGAAAAATACCTACTGATCTACCAGAAATCCAGCAAGCTTCTAATTTTCTGCGCACTGCCTCTGTAGCACTGAAATCCCAAGCTGTGTTTTCAGTCAATAAACTACAAAATACCTCCCACTATACTGTTGAGATGAGGAGAGGGGTGTGTTTAGAATGGGCAAATCAGCAGCATGCAGCCTAGAGTGACAGCATTGTCATGAACAATACAGGACATGAAGTGTGTTACTGGTAGGGTCACCTGACAAAAGGACGAAAAGCCTGAAAGGAAAGTGATGCAGCAAATACAACCAAGGACTAGTAAGCTGAACTATTTTACATTTTTGTTCTTGGGTTTGCATACAGCATCAGAATAATTAATTCGCCGAGTCCCATACTCATTCAGAAGCCAAAAATATTTGACTTTAGATCAGATCAGGAATGGCCAAATTCCAGCTGTGGTGAAACTACAAATCCCATAATGCATCCGTCTCTGGGAGTCATGACTGTGGCTGTGAGAATCGTGCAATGTCTCATGGGATTTGTAATTCCAGAACAGCTGGAGGGCCAGAGTTTGCCCACCTCTGCTTTAGATGGAGCCTGTAGAAAAAGAAAGTGGGCTTGGCAAGACCGTTAACAGTAACAAAGATCAAATGACCATTTTGGTTTTTAATCATAAAGATTGAGAACCGAATTCCTCAGACTACTAGCTGTGTATTGTACTAGACTGCTTGAACAGGCAATGTGCCACCACTCTTGTGATTGTCCTCTAAAGAGTGTTTGTGTATCCAGGTAAACAAAATTATAAAGGATCTGCAGGTCTTATGTGTGTTTGGCACTTGCAATGCTATTCATCACCAACTGTTTAAACATACTGACTGCACACTGACTAAGGATGTATTCTACCAGAGAAAAATAATGTGTACATGGGAAGTGGAACAAGCTCCAACCTGCCACTTACCATGGCTTCATGCGGCATACAACATCCTCAATATCCTGGCGGATCTCGTACGTTGACTCCAGGCGGAAAAGGTTGAAGTTGCGAAGAAGATAGTCATGGAGGGTTAGAAACTGCAGGTTAAGCTTTGGCAGTGCCAGGCACCCTGGTAAACAGAAACAGGTTTTAACCCCAACATTGCAATAAAACACAATTTAATCACTAGATCACATGCTTCAGTTTCCATGTGATGCCACCATACAGGCAGATTTCTTAGGTTTTAAAATGGTGAAGTATACTTCAGATAGACTTGGCAGCCCATAGTAACAATAACTTTGGTAGCTGCTGCCCCTCTGATGTGGCCACATGAACTGTATAAACCACTTAGAAAACACAGATCACCTCTCTAAATATTTTAAGGGTTTTTTTTTTTAGTGCATGATCTACATGTTCCTCAGCACTACAATAATACTAGTTTGTATGTGTTAAAAACTCCAACAATTTAAACTGCTATAAAAAAAATAAACCCTGGTTCACTGATCAACTGCATATTATGCATTAGACATGTTCAAACTCCCATTATACAATGCAGTCCAATATCTTATCTTGTGCATATAGAAAGAATTCCTCCCAGTTATAACAGCGACAAATGGTCTGAGGTTGTTAGTGGTGTCCCCCAAGGTTCAATGTTGGGCCCCTTACTGTTTATATATTATATAGAGTTGGGGATTAAAAGTACTATTTCTGTGTTTGCAGATGACATCAAGTTATGTAGTGGAATACAGTCCTTACAGGATGTCTCCATCTTACAAGCAGATCTGAATGCATTGTGTGATTGGACATCTATTTGTCAAATGAGGTTTATTGTTGATGAATGTAAAGTTTTGGCTGCATTTGCATTTGTACTTTAAATGTTAGAATTTTGAATACATGGAAGCGCTGACTATGAAAGGACTACAATTACCTCAGGCTGCCAATTACTGCTCACATGCTGGCCTGAGGCAGACCCACCTTCTCACAATACAAGTCTGCAAAGCTGGACAACCATGTAAAAAGAATGCACTGAGTCTATGAGGACAATATCTTATTAAAACAGTTTTTAAGCGAGTTCCATTGTAGCAAGCCACTGACAACTCCACCTAGTGGCTCATTTCCAGCCACGGTCACTTAGTACTAATGACAGTCTGCGCCTGCAGCTTCGGACAAATGGGCAGGGTTTGCCTCGGGCAGTTAATCATTTTCTATTCACACTGGTGCTTAGCTGCAGACAGCCTAGGACTATTACTGGATGAGTGGTACTAGAACTAGAGTGCACTGTGTACAGGCCAAGAGCTGAAATGGACACATTATGGGGCAGCAAGTGCCAAAGGTATTGTTAGCAAGGCAGGGCAAGTGTATTCCATGTTATTTTTTAAGCAAAGACAGAAGATATGAAAGTACAATCCTAAAAAGACAACTTCACTTTTAGTTAAGTTTTCCACTACAGCTATTACATTTCCCCCTCAATGTAATCCAGATAGCTAAATACATATCTCTGGATTAAAGCTAAAGGCCTTTACTGTATGTCCCTGCCAACTGCACCCTTGTATATTCCTATTGCTGGATATGTATGTATAAGAAGCCACCCAAAGGGACCCAGCCTATAGAATGGATTGGGGTCCCAGCCTACATGGACAGAAGGTGTAGGGCCCATATGGGACAATTTGTACGCAAAAGCTGAGCAGCACCGGCCATGAACAAACAGTGAAGATCTCTGGAGCCGAGCAGAAGGTACAACACTGAAGTTCTTGAATCACGAAGAGGTTAGATCACACAGGAACGTTTCAGAGACCAAGACATAATACTTTTTTCCCCCCTCATCCAAGCACTTGCTATGCCACAACTTTTAATTATTCCACCAAAGCAATTATTTTCCTGTTGGAAGGCAGCAAAAAGACAGATTCAATGGTGGGGGAGGCCAGAGATGAGAACTACAAGAAAAATATGGTTGCCACATTTTCCCAACTGATGAATAAAGTCAAAGGGTGACTGTGCACACTAGTATTCATCCATAACTAACACCATATCTGGATGAATAGACCCTTTATTCTCTACATTGCAAGATCATAACACAAGTGGTACTCAGAATGGCAGCTTTGCTAGGGAAAAAAATGAAATGGTCAGAACTGGAGAAAAACCCGAAACATTGCAATTGATTCAGATGTCCAATACAAGATAAATATCATTTAGAAGTATGAACTGATTAATAATACCATTAAAACATATAAAAGTGAGCAGATTATCTGTCTGCTCATACATGCAATAAACCATTATCAGGGCCCAGTCACACCATATCCAGTGCTATTCATGTCAATGGCAGACACTCCCGTAGTGCGATTGCCCGCACCAGAACGCGAGGTACAAGAATGCCCTCCGTTCCGGTGCAGTGGTATCGGAAAAACATGCTGCATGCACTATTTATTTCCGATCGCACTGTACTGGAGCAGAGGGCATTCCTGTACCTCGTGTTTCGGTTCAGGCGATCGCACTGTGGGCATGTCTGAGGTGCCATGGACATGAATGGCACCGACACGCCCCCTCCCGCCCCAGAACGCTGCCCTGCCTGATCTATGCGATCCAGCGTGTCCCGGGCTTTAACCGCACCGGAACGCACTGGATATGGTGTGACTGGGCCCTCAATACATAACAAAATCCTTTAAATACCATCTACATACTAACTCAGATGAACCTGTGCCCCCTACAGTAAAGCAGAAATGTTTTTGGTCTTTCAAATTCAGAAGACTGAACTTCTTGCTGCAAGGACCTCAATGAACCGCATTATTCTTTACAAAAATGCAGAAAGGGAGAAGAAACATGATATTCCTAAACACTCCAAAAGCAGTCTGTTTTAATTCTCCAAGTGAAACAAGTCATGTAAAAACTATTTTAAGAAGAGATCCGTAAATAAAGAACAGCATTAAATATTTCATCATACAAAGACTCTGTATTAGGAGTAAAGTAGGTATTACTAAGGCAGGGAAACTGTTAAGTGACTCCATGTTAGCTGTTTCAGGATGGTTGGGTTAAACGAGATCACATTTCAAAGTTGGAGTTATATTGGTGGGTTTCTTGATATTAGAGCTCATTAGAGCAGTCATTACGGGCATTTCAGATCAGTTTACAGCAGCCTCACCTTCCCCAGAATAGTACTCTGTGGGCACAATGTTCTCATCCCATATGATCTTCTCTGTGGGATACAAGGGCATCTGGTTCAGCTGCTGGATCTGAGAAATACGACGCTCATGTCGGGACACCTGGAAAAAAAAAATACATGAAAAAGCCTGGTTCATGCGGGCAAGTTGGACACAAATGACTGTAGAGAAACAACAGCAACAATTACAAACGTAATACTAAAGCAAAAGGCTGTATTTAACCCTTTCCCTGCCGACGTAATGCATACGGCGGAACAAAACTGTTCCCAATACACCAGGTCAGTATGCCTTACGTCGGTGGCATTTACCCTTCTTCTATGAGCTCATGGTCACTTTAGCGGGCGTTAACTTATATCAGAACTGCTCCCCAGACTGTCCCCTTTAAATTAATAGCGGTCATCAGCGGCTCACAAGTCGCCGATGACCGATATTAACAAAACTTCCGGCCCCCGCCATCTTCAGCCTCTCCCCCCTGCCTGGAGCCGCTCCAGGCAGGGATCTGTGTCTCTATGGATCCCCCACTTGTATGGGCTGAGGCAGCGGGGATCCCAATACAAATGGCCAGTGGGGCGGTGGAGTAGTGAGTCGCACGATCACGATGATCGAGCGGCATGAGAGAGCGGCGGGCAGGAGAGCGGAGCCGCTGTCATCCTGTCAGTTTTAGGATGACAGCAGCTGTGTGCGTGGCCGAGCGGAGGGTCGGTAAATATCAGTGATATGTACCGATCCTCCATGCAGCACAAACATTGGAGTGATCGTCTGATGAAAGATTGTAAATAGCTGGGGACACATAGCACTATGTGTCCCCAGTTATGAATGAACAGGATGTGATTTACATCACTTCCTGTTCATTCATGAATTTCTGAATGGGGAGTAGCACTCGCTACGAGGCTTCTGCCCATTCATAAACTGCTTAATAGTAAATATTTTACTATCAACAGTTTCTGAATGAATGGGAAGCCTCTGTACTGTCCATTCAATTTAGAACAGAGGCTGCAGAAAAAGAAATTGAGGACTTTGTGTCCTCAATTTCTTTTTCTATTTCAAAAGTGAAATGTCAGGGGTCTGTGTAGACCCCAGATATTTCACCATAGCCCCCCAACAGTAAAAAAAAAAAAAAAAAAGTTAAAATGTAAAAAAATACAATTGTTAAAAAAATAAAAAAGAAAGTGTAAAAAATAAAAAAAGAAGAAGAATGTATTAATAAAAAAAAAAAAGCACACACACCGTATTGTGGTTTTACGCCATGCACATGCGCTGCAGTGCGTTGTAAGAACATATCGAAGTACATGATTGTTAATTTTTTTTCTTTAAAAAAAACATTTAACTGTGGCAGCACATGGCAAAGCTTTGTGACGCATTGTCATGTGTTGTGATACCTTGTGTTGCAATTAAATATATGCCTGTATCATTTTATCACAACACCAACAAAGCGCAAAAACGATTTAACATAAAAGTCGTTTATATACAGTTTTGCGTTCCTTCATTTTTTTTTTACCTTTTTGCAAAAAGGTGCAATTTAAAATGTGCAAATATTTGTTATTTATTAACTCCATACAGTTTTATCTTTTAGATTTAGTCAGAAAATATATTTTTTTGTGCGCTGATACCGATTTTAGTGTGCTTTGACAATTGAATTGTGTATTTTTATCGGTTTAATATTAGTTTGAGAAACATTTGAGCAATTATCGCAGGGCCTACAAACTTATTAGCACCATCCTTTTATTCTACCGGGCCTGGGCTTTCAGAAAATATATGGTTTGGGGGGTCTTTTACAAACGCTAGCAACGCAGCAGTTGAAAATCAAATCAATGGGAAAATTGCACAAATGGTCTGCCCAGCTGAGGTGCAAAAAGTTCCGGAGGGCTTGGCAGCGAAAGGGTTAAAGATATTGCTTTGCAAAATAACACCTAATCATCCCCTGTCAAGGAATTCATTCTAATGGGAGAAATATATATCATTGATAAATTAGCTTGGGTAGACCTACCAGGAGCTCCAAGAGAAACCCTTTGTCATATTTGGTCTCCTCGCCTTCAGAGAGTGCTGGCAGTAAACAGAGATATGATGCCACCCGGTGGAGTGCATTGGGACTGCAAAATAAATATAAATCAATCAATCAAGATGGCTAAATCAAGTACACACAGAACTAGTGATGTCAAGAACACATAAAAAGCTGCAAGGACAGTCTTTGTATCGAATGAAAAATGAAACCTAATACATGAGATAGAAGAATTTGTGACCCAACAATTTGGTAAAGGTCTACAATTTCATAAGGTTCCACCACATCACAGCTCTGTAATCAGTCTAGGAGGGCAGACATTTCTGTCTAGTGGTAACATGATTGAGAATGACGAGCATAATAGTGCGTTGCATTTTTACATCCAAAAGCACCTGATGTCACGTTTTCCGTTTGTGGTGAACTTGGAAAGTGCAGATTGGGGAAAGATTAAAATGTGGTCAATCAACAAGGCACATTTATCCAGTTAACAATTGTAGGATAGGTGAAGCAGAGTTAATAGGCATGTAAGAAAGTAAGGTTTAGGGAATAGATTGGAATAGTAAAGTGGAAGGGTAAAGAAAAAAAAGCTTCTTTCTGCCTTTTAGCAATATTTTTTTTCTGTACACTGAGCTGCATGCGCAGCTCAGCGCACAGACAATATACCAGGATTATGTAACTACTGTTCGCATACACAGGAGTTAGGTCATAGGGACCCGACCAATTAGGTGGCCGAACACAGAAAACCCAAAAGAAGAACGAGGAAGAAGATCGACGTGCTGGCGAGGGAGAAGTGCATAGCTGGAGGGGATTTTTTGGGCAGGTAAGTCTGCCATAATGTGTTAATATGCCGTGCTATAAGCTGCTGGGGAA